GACGCGGGCCCAGCCTCCAGGGGCCCAAGAGACACATGTGCAGAGGCCAGAGGGGATGGGGACAAACGTGTCCCCCCATCAGCACTGCCTCATGCACAGCCTTTACTGGGGACGAAGGCCCAGCCTCCAGGGGCCCAAGAGACACATGTGCAGCGGCCGGAGGGGATGGGGACAAACGTGTCCCCTCATCAGCACTGCCTCACGCAGTGCGGGCCCAGCAATGTCTGCCCTTCACTCTCTCTTTTTTTTTTTTTGAGACAGTATCGCTTTGTCACCCAGGCTGGAGTGATCTTGGCTCACTACAACCTCCAACTGCCTGGTTCAAGCAATTCTCCTGCCTCAGCCTTCAGAGTAATTTTTGTGTAAATTTTGCTAATTTTTATGTTTTTAGTAGAGATGGGGTTTCACCATGTTGGCCAGCTGGTCTGGAACTCCTGACCTTGGGTGATCCACCCTCCTCGGCCTCCCAAAGTGCTGGGATACAGGCGTGAGCCGCCGCACCCAGCCTCCTCATCTCCTTTCTGGGCCAGATCCCAAGGCTCCGCAGGAAGCTGATTTAAAGGGCCAGCCGAGCGTCATTCTCCAGCAGGCGGGGACAGCTCAAAGTGCTGTGTGCACAGGTGGGCTAGAGGCTGTGGGGCAGAGACGGCCCTGCGGGGCTGCAGCCCAGGCCACGACCGGCAGAGCCCTCCAGGCCCCGGGCCCCTCACCTACACAATGGACAGTGCGGGGCAACCTCACAGGCTCTCACGGCATGGATCAGATGCAGCGGGGGACACGGGGGGTCCAGGGAGGAGGCTGCAGACTCAACCAGCCTTGAGCAGCCACTCATGCTCACATGGGGAGCTCCATGCTTTGGGAGTGGGCCCAGCTCACACCACTGCAGCCCTGCACAGCGGGAGCGCTGCAACTCCATGGCACAGAGGGGAACGCCGAGGCACAGCGAGGGCGAGCAATGCCCCGAGGGCACAGCCAGCTGGTGGCCAACAGTGACCACTCCCTGGTTGCCCTGTGGCTCCAAGGGGTTCTCCCAAGGGGGGCCATCACCACCGAGGGCAGAAGAAAGCCTCACAAGCCCCCAGCACGAGTCCCACCTCACCGAGGAGGCTGCGCTCACCTACAGGGGAGGCACAGTGTGCACTGAGCACGGAGCGGCAGCGCTCCTCCGACTCCACCACAAAGGCCAAGCCACCCAGGCACAAAACGGGCGAAGGAGGGGAGCAGACGCCTCTCCAAAGACGGCATGCAGGCCCAGTGGAACCCTGCAAAGGTGCCCAGCATCACCGACTGTCAGGGAAACACATGTCAAACCACAGCGGGACACCAGCGCGCACCAGCTAGGGGGCTGCTACAGGAAAGTCCAAGGTAGGTGTGGATCAGGATGAGGCAAGAGGAGACCTGCACCCCGGGTGGGAATGGGAGTCCGTCCAGCCGCAAGGGACAGCAGTTTCCTCCAGTGCTAAAAACAGAGCTGCCCAGCGGGCCAGCGGTCCCACTGCTGGGTCTGTGTCCACGGGAAGACACGAGAATCCCCGAACCACAACCTCACTCCCACATCCGCTGTGGCGCAACCCGCAGAGACACCGACGGTGCCCGCATAAACGCAACACGGTCCATCCACACGGCACGTTGCTCAGCCAAGGAAAGAAGAAAGTCTTGCCATATTTGGGTTGAATGAATATGGATGAACCTTGAAGACATTATGCTAAAGAAAGACGCCACTTGCGCCTGTAATCCCGGCTACCCAGGAGGTCAGGGCAAGAAGACCTCAAGGCCAGGAGTCCCAAACCAGCCTGGGCAACACAGTGAGACCCCATCTCTTAACAAAAAAGTTAGGAGTGAACCTAAGTTTTTGGCGTGTGCTCCTGGCTCCAGCTGCTTGGAAGGCTGAGGTGGGAGGATTGCTGGACCCCAGGAGTTTGGGGCTGCAGAGAGCTCTGACGGCACCACGCGCTCCAGCCTGGGTGACGGAGTGAGATTCTGTCTCTCTCTCTCTCCACGCACTCCAGCCTGGGTGACAGAGTGAGATTCTGTCTCTCTCTCTTTCTCTCTCTCCACGCACTCCAGCCTGGGTGACAGAGTGAGATTCTGTCTCTCTCTCTCTCTCTCTCTCTCCACGCACTCCAGCCTGGGTAACAGAGTGAGATTCTGTCTCTCTCTCTCTCCACGCTCTCCAGCCTGGGTGACGGAGTGAGATTCTGTCTCTCTCTCTCTCTCCACGCACTCCAGCCTGGGTGACGGAGTGAGATTCTGTCTCTCTCTCTCTCTCCACGCGCTCCAGCCTGGGTGACGGAGTGACGGCACCA